AAAGACAGAAAGTTCAAGTCTGAATTCACTCAAGATTAGGAATGTCTGGATTTGAGTTATCACTGTATAATATTAATATTATTCTATGTAGTGCTGTAGAATAGGTGAACATGCCAAAGAAATTAAGCTTGTCATATCAAGCTTCCAGGCCAAAACTGAGTCCTCGCAGTATAATTCAGAACAGGTACAGAATGTCCAGAGTGGTCATGACTGCTGGGTGCTTTATGGAAGAAGACAGATTATTAGACAACGTTTGGTAAGAGGAGGAAGGAACCTGACTAACAATAACAGACATTCTTCCAAACAAAAGGGGATGTCATGAAAGGCACAAAGTCAAGAGTACAGTGCATGCAGCCATTTGATCTATAATGCCCTCTGTAATATTTCACTTCCACTAATGTTAAATGGAAGTGTTCTGAATATGCATTCTCTCAGATAAAGGAGTGAACCTTTTGCTCTGCAATGATATTTTTTTCTTATATAAGCTAAAAATGCTTCTAAACAATTAGATCATATTGCCCTTGCCTTCCTAAATCTGCATGTAGAAGAGTTCCCCCTCCCAACGCAAAAAAAGGGTACAGCCATCCAGCGGTGAATGACATCCCTTCTTCCTGGACCAGGAGTACGACTCTACCCAAGGTCCAAGATCCATGCACAGTATTTGTAGGAGACGGATATTGTTCCCAATGCTTTTTTTGTGCAGCCCTCTCAGTGCCACAGAAGAGGGTGGGAATTGTAGAAGCAGCAGTAGGCGGAATTGTAGAAGCAGTTGGCCGCACAGCTCCGAACTAGGTGGTACAAGATTCCCTGAAGCAGATGTAGATGGGACAGGCCTCTATTAGACCTGCTGAGATCCATATGGAGCTCCCAAGATCTGCAAGTTCTGGTTCTAGTACCCTGCCCATTCTGTCAGGAGGGGAACCCCACACCCCTGATCAAACAATCTAGGGAAAATTCCATGATGGGCACTTTGTGGAGTTTGCCTATTGCTGGCCCTCTCCTTTGGGCTTTTCTGTGGGAGGGTGCGATCTGGATCCAATACTAATAAAAATGGAAAAAGAGGCAAGCTAAAATATTAAGTATGGCAGCTCACTGTTGCTTTTTTCTTGCACTGAGGGTGATAACCAGTTAGTCAACAAATTACTTGCACATATTCTGTTGCCAGCAGCACTACAATCTGACAGCAACTTTATTTCATTTTTATTCTTGAAAGTATAAGCCAAGTGATTCCCAAAAGACCTACTACGCCAAATCACTACACAGAACTGAAAGAGATCAATGGTCTGATACATAACGAATTATTTTTTTAGATGGAGTCTTAAAATGTTGCTGGAATCAAATATGTCAGTTGGTCAAATGAGAGTAGACAGAATCTGACACTTGCTCTATATTATACACTCCTCTTACTCGGGGCATGTACTGCCCAGGAAACAGAAGTTCTGAACACATGTTAAAAGACTTATTTGTTAGCATCCTGTTTACATTAAACATGGCTGAAACTTGAAACCATGCCAGCAGCAAGCCTAGTCTACACCATAATGCATAGTTTTAGAACATCACTTTCAGCACAAATGAACAAACCTTCTTTTCATACTGTTTAATTAAAGTATACTAGCAATTCAGGTGTCAAACAAGGTTGCTACTAGCTCAGTTTCAACCATAATGTGGAACCAAGGTTAGACACTGTTTGATTTGCAAATTCTCCATTGCGCTATGGCCTCTTTGAGTCTGTGCATCTGGTCAGCTGGCAATTCCCCCTGCATAGTGGGAATCCTTGGGTGTCATAAAGCTGGAAAATGGCTCTATGCCATCCAGCATCATAATCCATGGCATAAAGAGTGGTTTCAGAGGAACAGCCGTGTTAGTCTGTATTCGCAAAAAGAAAAGGAGTACTTGTGGCACCTTAGAGACTAACCAATTTATTTGAGCATGAGCTTTCGTGAGCTACAGCTCACTTCATCTGATGAAGTATGCTGTAGCTCACGAAAGCTCATGCTCAAATAAATTGGTTAGTCTCTAAGGTGCCACAAGTACTCCTTTTCTTTTTGGCATAAAGAGTATGGCTGGGAGAGAGAGGGTGTGGCTGGAACATCAATATACTCTGGCTATACCTAGCTGCTACAATGGTCCCTCAAGGACATGATGGCTACTGCATAAGATAGAGCAACCCTAGGCTGCTATAACATATACTGGGGGCCAAAAAAGTCTCTTTTCAGCCTCAGAATTGACAAGTCATAAAGGTGGCAGGTCCTGATTCCCTACTGCCTTGCATTGCACAGAATGCACAGTGGGTATAAAACACTACCAAATTTAGTATGATCTAAAAATGTTCCCAAGTTAGTTTTTGGGAGCAATGCTCAGGGTGGCCAGAGTCAATTGGCTTCGCCTGCCCACTTCCTGGATCCCAATAAGGCCAGAGTCAATTGGGCCATAAAGGGGACAACAGATGACAGCAAAGTTCACTCCGGGGATGAAGGAAGGTTAGTCACTAGGCACAGAGGCATAAGGTATAGTCCCCTACTACGCTTGTAAATATGGAGTGCATCTACCTGATATGGGCTCAGCAGCTTTTCTATCAGCTATCTGAAGATGGCTTATCACTTGGCAGGGGATTATCCAAATTAATTTTTAGTATTCTTGATGGCAGGAATCCAATATGGTAACAGTGCATTAGTGCAAGACCTTTGATTCATCCTAATCCCAAACACAGGGCTGGGAGTTACTAAAACCAGAATCTGCAAGGAGGATTGTAACAAGGGTGTTGAGCTTTAAATGCCAGTATAATATCCCTTTGTGTTATTAATGAGTTTCATCCCAGTAAAACAAGGTAAATTACTAAGAGGTTGATTGGATTGAGGGAGAAAAGAAAGAAAATTCCTCATTGTATGCAGCACTTCCTTATCTCTTAAATACTGCTGATAACACTCTTTTGCCTTATTTTAGAGGGGAAAAAACAGTACTGAAACCATTAGATTACAAGTTATTTCCATAAACAGATCATTATAAATAAATATTTGTTTCAAAAATGAATGTATTTGTTGCAGGAGTTGCTATGATGATTAGCATTTTGTAATTAATAGAGGCAACAATGCCACATAGTAGACAAAAGGGAAAGGGGGTTGAAAAGTACTTGTGTACTATCATCCTGTCTAATATTTTCCCCTTAAATAGATGCAGTATTTTCTTTTGAAGAGATACTTTTTACTCGATTATTTTGTTTTTGCTGCTTCTTTTTTGTGTTCTTTCCCCTGAGACACTGCAGCAGAGAGTTAAACACTATTTCAAAGAAGTTTGCAATTTTTAATTGCACTCTGTACTTTTGCAGATACATTTGATGGAAAATTCACCTAACTAGTATGTAATGTTTATTGTATCAGGCCACATGTATTCATTAACATTCCTTTATTACAACCACTCCTAATAGCAGATTTCTCAATGGGAGAACTCCATCATTTTTGCAGCTGGTACATTCATATTTATTTATTACTGTTGGGGTACAATTGAAAGCAACAAAATATAAAGGCCCTAAAATTGAGAGACCCCCCCCCCCAAAATGCATTCACAGGAAAATTTCAAGTGAAGTTTTTTAGTAGTGATTCATAAATAAAACTGGACTTTGAATGAAAGAAACATGTATGAAATGTTGACATTAAAGAATCATATTTTCCACACCTCCACCCCCTTTCTAATAGATTAAAGGTAGCACTGAATGACGTATACTGATTTATAACATTAAAATATAAAATGAAAAATTGTTAATGGTAAGATTAAGAAATTTGATAGCTATATTTTTAATTATTTGTAATTATGTATAGTAAATGAGCACAGATGAGGTAACACTTAGGCCAAGTCCTTTCTGGCATAAGTGTGGTTTTCCGAGTTCTTCTTTTACATAGCATTGCTAATCTTCTCAAAAAATGTTATTGCTGACAGAGCAAAGGTAATATGTCATGCTGAAAGATGTAAGTAAAAGATACACAAACATGTAATGATAAATATCCACCTCCCTTTTCTGGGAAAAGCCAGGGCAGGGTGACACAAAAACATGACCCAGAAATTGCAGAGCCATAAGGAAAAATGCAGAAGTTGGGTAACTGAAGCTTGCACACGTGTAATGCACGGGTTAATGTGCTAAAAGCCAATTAGATAAAGATTAAGTAATCTGTAATGTAGAAATGTAGAAAAGACCTAAGTGAACCTGGGCCTTTAACTGGAGAAACACCAGATCAGAAACTGAAGAATGGGATGGAAAGACCAGACCTAGGGTTCTGAGAAGATGATGACTATCATGGAAGATGGAAGAACTTGCGCCTGTCCCCGAATGTAGTAACAGGGGACCACTTACCAAATCTGTCTTGTCTGTTAGTATCTGTCTGGCATAAATGTACCTGCAGACACTATAAATGACAATAATTCTCTCTGAAATTGTATAGATAAAGGCGAAAATTTATTAATCCTAAATTGGGTGGATTTGTGACTCAGTTCCCCAATTTTTAATCCCAATGACTATGATTAACATATTTTCACTGTGGCTACTCAGGGAGAATTTTAATGAGGGAATGCGACTGCAGAGAGTACATTTCTGTGGCTGTAATCACTAGCAGCAGCATTTTCATTTTTATCTTTGTTCTGACGTTTTCCTATATTTTGAATGAAACAAAATGAACAGGGCATCATGTCACATAATTTCTATTGGTTTTGGTGAGATTGTTTGCAAGAGAAAGTCGACAATATATTGGAGTCCTAAGCCGTTATTTGTAAGTGAACGGCACAGGATCAGCAGAAGCAATTGACTAAATTATTCAAATGACCAAACCAAATTAACAACAGGTGCTTCCTAGATGGCTGGCCAGATCCTCAGCTAGTGTAAATCAGCATAGTTCCACTGACTTCACCAACTGAGGATCTGACCCTTCACTTCAGTGGGCATCTGTTAACATATATAGTATGTCAAAAGGCGTGAAGCATGGTAAAAAAATCAGCTGTCACCAAATACTCACTCTGCAAACAGTCAGCATTTAGGAGGTCTTGGCACTTCTCATGACATTTGACACCACATTCAGTGCATCTCATGCCTTGCCTGGCTATGCCCCAAAGGAGACCTTCACATTCGTAACAGTATGTGGGAGTTGTAGCTGTCCACACTTCGAAGTTATGAGGAGTGGTTGATGACATTGGATAGATTAAAGCCTGCAATGTCTTTCTGAAAACATGCATTTTCTGTTGGGTGGAATGGGGGGAAAAATCAATAAAAGTCATCTTAGATTTCAATGTTTTTTCACGAGTGAACTACAGTTAAAATGTATTTTATGAACATCACAACTTTAAAAATATCAGATTATAAATCACATTACACATTCCTCAGCAAAATACTCATTTACTCAAGTCATCTTGTACTTTGAAGAGCAGGTTGCCTGGATGACCTAGTTTAACTGATTACATCAACAGCAGCATTAAGATGTATTTGATCAGTCAATTATATTTTCAACACAGAGTCCAGTATAATTCATTTTTTCATATTGATGGCAGAAATGCAAAAATTCATTAGCATTACATTTGCAGATCCATTTTTAAAGCAATTACCTTAAATATAGGTATTTATATGCTTTATATATATAAATATGAATATTTATATGCTTCCTACAGGAAATTGTCTGACTATATACACTGCATGGAATGTATCTCTATTATGTAGAAAGTGCCTTCTCTTAAATCTCATTTCTGTATTGTCTCCCCATAGGGTTGAAGTGGGCAACTTTCATGAGTTCCATTTTTGGTGGTTTTCCCATAGTACTGAATCTAATCTTTTTGGTTTTGAGTCAAGACTCTCTTTTTCTCAGAAGTAGGAGTGGGTCCAAATCAAACCCCAGAACGGAGCACTCAGATCTTGAGCAGCTTTGGATCAGGATCCAAATCTTGCTGCTCATGACCACCTCTAGACAAAAATGATCAACTATACACTAATTAGCACTGCAAACAAGCTGAATTGCAGCTCATTAGCGCCAAAAGCCAGTTGAACACTGATAAACTAGCCCTTGTAGGTTTGCATATAAAACAAGGGCATAAAACCCTATAGGTTCCCATATAAAACATCCCCTACTATTAAGTTTACTCAGCTTTGTGTGTTAACAGCTGCTCTGCTAGGTATTGAGTGCTCCCAAGCCCCAATGATTTCAATGGAAGTAGAGGCAATTCAGCAGCTTTCAGGTGATCCTCAGCACTGTACAGAATGAGGCCCCAACTTTGTTTCTCTGATTAAATGCAGATGGCTGACAGCATCATATTAAGAATTATAGTCTTGTCTGCTTCTAAATAAGTGAAATAAATCTATTGTGAAGGAAGAGCAGTCATCTGGAAGACAGCACAGGGAAAAGCTGGATATTTCGAAGACTTGGTAAACACAGGCAAATGAGGCACCAAGTTATCTTGTTGGTTTGCTTATGAAAAATAGAGAGAGAGAGAGAGAGAGAGAGAGAGAGAGCGCTGAGGTTGTGGAAGTGGGACAAGATAGGAATCTATGGCTGAAAGGAAGGGGAAACAGCCATTTTAATATTAAACCTATGTATTAAATGTGGCTCAAAGAAGAGATCAGGAGGATTGGAACTGAAGCTTTTTTCATTTCACCATATGAATTTAAGTTTTTGTTGATGCTTTCACATCTTTAATGCTACTTACTGCCATCTGCGCTCTGATAAGTGTACTCTGTAAGTGAGGGGTATTAACATTTAGAATGAGGCAAGAAGGGAAGATATTTTTGTTTATGTTGCTGGATATATATTTTCCCCATAACACCTGGGAATATTTTGACAATAATAAACAGTCCCACATTTTCTGGAGCACATATCTAGACTGCTAGCCTAGTATCACTGCTACACAATCAGTGCCATCACGTGACAACTCTCTACTACAGCAGAAAAACCATCACCAGGTGGGGGCCAGTTAATATTCATGAGCTGACTAAGTCATAAGCTTAGCCATATGTTTTCTAGTTCTCTCTCTCTCTGTGTATATATACACATACACATATAATCCCCACCCATGATTATTGGCTGATGAAGTCTCCCCCACAACCCAGTGAATCTTACAGCAGGGCTATAATTCTGTATTAAATTCTTTGGGTCAGATCCTCAGCTGGCATTAATCAGCCTAGCTTCATTGACATCAATGTAGCTGTGCCGACTTATAGCAGCTATGGCGGCAAGGTTAATTACAAAACCAAACACCTAATTACTTGAACAGAATAATGAGCTATGTCAGAAAAACTGCAAGAATCTCCCTTGCCCCCTCTTCATGTCTCTCTGTTTGTTCCCTACTCTCCAATGTACCATGTGCAAGCTTCTCATCATCATTACTGATGCTCTCCAACATAGAGCCTTACTCTGCCTTTCAAAAATCTAATTTTATGTTGTGACGTTGAGCTCCCATTTTCGCTCTGCCAGTGAAACCAGCCTTGATTGCCCACTTTTCCCCATAAACACCTTTGTGCTTCCTCTGTTATGCTTGGTCAAAACTTCCCATCCACATTTGAAAAGACATCACCTATCTTATAAAAATCTCTTAAAAACCTATGTGGTGGCTACAAGTCACTGGAGTCTGGTATTGGTAGGGCAGGCAAGCAGCTGTGGCCATTGAGACTGTTGCTTTGACTAATTTATATAACTTGGATCTCCTCTTCCCTCCCCTTCTTTCTTGCCACATATTGTCTAAAGTCTTGACAGAAAGTTTTCTGGATCCAGGACTGTTTTTGTGATAGTTGTTTGTACATCGTCAAATAGGATGGGGCCCTAGTCCCTGTAAGTGGATCTTGAATTGTTACCATGGTAGAAATATCAGTAATAATAAATGGTGCTGATTAGCTGAGACTATGGAAACTTAAGTAAGCTTAAATTTAAGTAACCAAAAGTTGCTTGTTACATCCTGATGGTAATTGGTACACTGTGCAGCCTATTTGGGCAGAAATTCTGCTCTAGTTCACACCTATATGATCCAAGTAACTTTGAGACTCTTAGAAGACTATGGAGTCTGAACTATAGTAACTGAAGACTGAAAACAATTTGAGCGAATAGCTGTGACTGAAAACAATGGGATGATGCCCTGATGAGACAGTGCAACACAGCCAGGGAAGTGGCTCTACATAATTTTTCTACACCTCCCATACCAGGAGCTACCTGGGTCAGGTCTTCTCCCAGCTGGTAATTCTTTTAAAGCTTCTCTAACTTGCACTGGCAGATAGATAACAACTAGGAGCTCCTCTGCTAGCCATGATCTCAGTCTAACGCACAATATGTTCCATTCCTTCCCCAATTCCCAGAATGCCCCCTTCACAGCTTACCAGGTACAGAGGTTAAAAAGAAAACCTCAAAAACATCTCAAACTGAATATATACCATATGTTGATTAATCACAGTTCACAGAAAAAAACGTGTCTTTGAAGATTCCTTTGCAGACTTATTGCTATAATACATATTATCTGATTAGTCACATCAGTGAAAATCCTGCCATGTTTTTCACCCTATTCAATTCCATTGATTTCAACAGGGTATATTTCATTTGTAAGATTTGGACCATTACATTGTATAAAGAAATCAAAATAAACTGTAGTAGTCCCTGAAAGAAACACATTTTATATAATCCTTTTGCTTTGTGGTAAATAGCACAGAAGCCAAAAAATACATGTTTTGTTTTTTTGTTATTTAGCACCAGGCTATTATGGGAAATTCAAAGATAAAAAAATGTTTTGTCTGAATAACTGGTTTACAAATTGTGTCTTTGAAATAAAAACTTACTCATATTTGTTAAAGGACAGTATAATATTACTAGGGTTGTTGACTAATCACAGTTAACTCACAAGAACTCAAAAAAATTAATCACAATTTTAATCGCACTGCTAAACAATAGAATACCAATTGAAATTTACTAAATATTTTTGGGGTTTTCTACATTTTCAAATATATTGATTTCAATTACAACACAGAATACAAATTGCTCACTTTATATTATTTTTGATTCCAAATATTTGCACTGTGAAAGTGATAAAAGAAATAGTATTTTTCAATTCACCTCATACATGTACTGTAATGCCATCTCTTTATTGTGAAAGTGCAACTTACAAATGTAGCATTATGTACAAAAAATAACTGCACTCAAAAATAAAACAATGTAAAGCTTTACAGCCTACAAGTCCACTCAGTCCTACTTCTTGTTCAGCTAATCACTCAGACAAACAAGCTTGTTTACATTTATAGGAGATAATACTTCCCAACTCTTGTTTATCTGAAAATGTAGAAAACATCCAAAAATATTTAAATAAATGGTATTCTATTGTTTAACAGTGCAATTAATTGCGTGATTAAATGCAATTAATGTTTTAAATTACAATTAATTTTTTAATCGCTTGACAGCCCAATATTACAAATGATATTTATGTATATATGTTTGGTAAGAACAGTCTTTTGCTAAACAACAACAAGAATTCCATGGATTCTGTGCTATTTAACATGTAGCAAAAGGATAATTTTATATATCTTATTATCCAGTACTCAGAATGCTTTCATTCGTAATCGTATTCTGTCCTGATCTATTGTGTATATTTATAGCACACCACTCACAGCAATATCTAGGCACTGTTAATGCACAGCAAAATCCTCCAATACTGAAAAATTATCCATTTATTCTCCTTAGACAATTGGAGATAATTTCACTCAAGCACTGTGTCACATGCTTTTTGAACTTTTGATTCCTTTTAAGAAAAGGACAAAAAACAAATAATTATGCTTCCAGTATTTTGAGCACCAGTGACATACCACAAGCCTACAGTGTTATGGCTCTGATTCAGCAAAACAGTTAAATTTATGCTTTAACTTTAAGCACATAATTAAGTCTCAGTGATGTTAACAACATTAAGCACATGCTTAAGTACTCTGCTGAATCAGGGCTTTAGACTACACGTATTGACTACGTATCATAATGATGTCCCACTGTAGCATGTGTATGGAGCAGCGAACCTTACACAGTCTATTCCAAGAGTTTAATTTATGGGAGGTAGGTGGCAATTTATTCTGGGCGGAAATCATCAGCTGAAAGTTGACATCTGGCTTGATCCAGAAAATTCTGTTGTCCAGCCAGCCCAGTATCCTGCCTCAAACAGTGATCAGTACCTGACACCCCAGAAATAGCTGTAAAACACTCTATAATGGGATAACCTGCCCATAAGGAAAGCTATTTCCTAACTCCTGTCAACTAATGGACGTCTCATTCACTAAAGATTGAGGGTTTACATCCATTACCTTTCAGCCTGTCCATAATTGGATGTTCCTACTATATATCTGTTCCTTGTTTCAATCCTGCTGAGCTCTTGGTCTCAATGATACCTTGTGGCAGTGAGTTCCACTGGTTACTTATGCATTAGGTAGAAAAGTATATCCTTTTATCAAGTTTTAAATTTGTTGTCTTTCAATTTTATTGTATGTCCCCTATATGTGCCCAGTTTGCCTTTTCTATACCATTCTTTATATAACTGTCATATAACAGGCTACCCCTATTCCTCTCCTTTCTAAAACTATCAGACTTAATCTTTTCATTCTCATTCTCTCACCATGCAGATGTCTTCCTATGCTTGTAATCATGTTTGTTGTCTGTTTTCAGACTTCTATTTCTGGTACACGTTGTTTGATATGGGCTGACTTGAACTGAAAACAGTTATCAAGCTCAAGGCATATAACAACCTTATAATATATGCAGTATTATTTTCCATCCTATTCTTTATGCATCCTAACACTGTATTAACTTTCCCGACTGCCGACACATATGGAGCAGACGTTTTCATTGAAAGGACCCCTGCTTTTTTCCCCAAGTGATTACAGTTAATTCAGAATTGAACAGTGTGGTTAAAATGAGTCCTTCCAGTCTGCATTATCATTCATTTGTCAACAATAAATATGTCAGCTTTACAACTTGCTCCCTCTTACAGTTCTCAGAAAAACAAAACAAAACGCGGTGAAAATGAATTTGTTGAATCTGCCTGCCTCTATCTCCCCCTCCCCCCCCCCTTTTTTTTTTTTGCTGATTTGAGTCAGTGGCTGAATGGATACTGATTGTCGCAGGAGTTGGTAATGATTAGAAATTGTCTTTTCGTGGGCATCTGTTAGTAATACATATGGATTGCTTTTAAATTTTGTAAATGTGGCCAGCTATTTTCATAATCATATGAAATAAAAAACAGAAAAACATGTGTATTTTGTACTAGCTGTGTAATGTATTTTGGTTTATGTAAATTATATTTTTCTGTGCCTGTCGGTTTTTTTACGATTCCATACTTTGTTTTTGCCCTATCAACCTTTGTTGCTATTTTGAGACTGCAGCACAAGGTAACTGCTGCTTTTATTGAAAAGGATAATTTTAAACACTAGTTGTTTTCCACTTCAGTATTCTATTTTTGAACACTACCAGCTTATTCCTTTATGATTACCCATGGCACCACACCATCTCCAGTCAAATTACGGCGCCTCCTTTGAAGGTCTTCAATATCAAGATGTAGCCCACTAGCAACCTCTCCACTTTTCTACCTGCAGCATGTCCACTGTGGAGCCTAACTACATTATAAGAAAATGCAATGTGTTTCATTTTCTCAAAGGAGAATAAATCAAAGAAGAATATGTTTGGACTGGTAACTGGGGGGGAGTCACATGAGTGCCCTTTATCCCTCAAATTAGTGCTTCTGTTTAATCATGCTAGGTTTAGCCAGGCAAAATTACTCGCATTACACTTCAAATCTCCATGGAGAGAATGACATCTATTGTGTTCTTGACTAAAACAACCCTCTTTTGCAAAATACTGGTGGGAAATGGTTATGGCCAGATTATCAGAATGTGATTGTCTTCAAAAGATTGTCACTGTAAGTTTATGTGGGAAATAATCATTCTAGTCCACCATATACCACTACACTCCTTATTATTGGTGATTATTTTTATTGTAACCAAAAGGCTGCTAGATGCCTATCAGTAGTGAAAAATTACACGTGGTCCTTGCAATCTAATCCAATGGGTAAACTATGACACAACAAAGTGTAACAGGCATGGAAAGGCAGTAGGCACTTGTCAAAATCCTGTTTATAGCACTGTTAAACATCTTAAAATGACAGTTTCCCATAAACAGAATGCACATAAAATAAATGTTTTATAAAATAAAAATGTCTCTCATGACCCATTTCAAGTGAGAGTCATGACAGACCAAATTAAATCAACCCAGGCTTTTCCCCCCCACTGCTCTAAATCTGCAAAAATACACATACGGGTTAAATGCCAGACTGGAATGATTCAGAAAGACAGACCAAACAAAAACTCTTAGAGATAATAATCTCTTACATTTATGACAGGTTTCAGAGTAGCAGCCCTGTTAGTCTGTATTCTCAAAAAGAAAAGGAGTACTTGTGGCACCTTAGAGACTAAAACACATTTATTTGAGCATAAGCTTTCACGAAAGCTTATGTTCAAATAAATTTGTTAGTCTCTAAGGTGCCACAAGTCCTCCTTTTCTTACATTTATGTAACACCTTTTATCCTGTAAGAACAAGCCAGGCTGCTTAACTAGCCAGGTTGCATAGCAGAGGGGGAAGGGAAAATTTAGAAGTTTAGAATCAATCTCTGCTCTTATGAAAAAGAATAAAAGATCAATATTGTCCTGTCATATCAGACAGGACCTTGGGTTTTGTTTTTTTTTTAATTGTCTCATCTGAAAGTCCCCACATAGTAAATGGCATGAAATCAGTTTATTCATCCTGGAATGACAAAGGACTGACTGACTTCTGAAGAGGTTTGAACCAATTTGAACCAATCCAGGTTTTCCATACCAGATGCTTAGACCAATATATTAAGAAGCAATATATTAGACCAAACTACATATTACGAAGTCTAAAATAACGGGCCATTTATTATTTTAAGATAAATATACGATCCTAAGAGCCTAATTTAGCATTTCTTATTTATTTTGCTCTAATGAAGGCAAAAAGCCCTGGGTTTGTATGAGACAAACAGTACATTTAGATGTCCCTTACTTTTGAGATTTGCTGGCTGTTTTTTTCTTAGACTGTAAAATTTGCTTTTGGGACCATGTCTTTCTATATGTTTGTAAAGCACATAGCAACACAGGGCACTTGTATAGGGAAGAACATCTTGGTGCTTCCAGAAAATATATAAATAAATAAACAGCAATACTATCAAAATGCCCAGTCAAGACGAAACAAAATTTTCAACATCATTATCTTTTGCATAACATTAATAATAGATGTTCAAATAGCTCTATCAAAGTTTCTTCATTATTTAAATGAACACAACTTCCACTGTAAAGCACTTACCATTTCTTCATTGTTTATGGAAGTCCGGATAACCATGGCCAGGGATATACCAGACTTTCGGGCAGCAAGTGTCTGTTTAAAGTGAACACAAAAAAAGTTATCAAATACACCTGTAATACTAACTATAGAATTTAATGGAAAAAAGAGGGGTTGATAATGTTATTCTATGTGAGTTTAAGCAAAATTGTAACAAAGTGATGAATAAATTTCAGTTATTGTTTACTGCACAGAACTTTTAATGTTACAGTACATAATGGAAACACACTTTCCAACAATCATTATTGTTTCTATTGGCAGTGCCTAGCCGAACTGCCACTCCTAATATAAAACCTGTTATTCAGGGTTTTACGGCTCAGTTTTTTTAACCCACAGGCTGTCTCTATTTTTCCGCTTTGCCAAGCAAATTCATATGCTACAAGGACAGGCATCCTGCACTAATGTGGTAGCAGGACACGTCTGCAGCAATTTGGAGATTATTTTGCACTGGGCTTAGAATTCAAGTTGCCAGCCTGAATCATTCTTTTTTTAAGTCACTGACCATTTTTAACATTTGTGTGTGTGTGAGAAATATTTCCCTTTCCCAAAAGATGCTGCAGAAAACTTTACGACAGAAAAAGAAAATAAGTCTTTATCAAAGAAGCCAACAATATTCACTCAGCATTCTGAAAGGGTCAGGGTAGAGTGAAAATGCTCTTCAGCTAGGAAAGGATTAACTCTATCTCCCTTCTTCCTCTCTCTTTGGCCAGCCATTCAGAATAGAGGCTATAGGAATGGCTGCTGGGTTCTGAAGACTGGGATGAAACCCGGGTAGGGGGAGTGTCTGGTGTCATGTTTGGTTTGATTTATGGTAACTTATCTGGAGTTACGGTAGGGATCCATTCTGCATTGCACTGAGCACTTCCGTGAGTGCATTCCAATGGGTAAAATGGGCATTAAGGGTGCTCAGCACCTGGAAGTAGTAAGCCAGTAAAGATTTGCACTTAAGACCTTGCTGATTGCTGATGTGGCTTACTTCTACCCATCAGCTCCAAAACGGCACATGCAAAAGCAGGTAAAACAAACAAACAAACAAAATCTTTTATATAAAAAACAAGGTGGCTACATGCTATCCCAGTGCCTGGGTGCATTCTTTATTGCTATTGTGATCACCTAAAATGGGTCCTTAACAATTAACCATGGAAATAAGCCTTGTGAGGTATTAGGCAGCACACACAGCCGCCACAAATACTGCCAGCACTATTGTGTAGTAGAACTGTGTCAGTCCTAGAGCCAGAAGGCCCCTTTCATTCTTGGGGGAATATACAGGATTTATTCCACTATACAAAATCCCAGCAGTAATACCCTTGCATCACTGTAAAATATTGTTACCACTGAAGCTGAGCTAAAGCATTCCCTTCCCAGTCAAAGTAAATCATTCCAGGAATGTCTGAAGGCTTCTATCACTTCGCTTCTCTTACCCAGCCTCTGCCTTGTCATGCACCTCTTTTCTTGTGGGCTAGTGTGTTAAGGATGAACAGTTAGAGCCCTCAGAGCCCTCACAGACCCTCACGTCTATTGCCCTGATTGGGATGTTCACGTTGCTGCCTGCTCGGTCTCTATAATTCATTTTTGCAGAAATTCCAGGACATATTTTTCCCTCTGAGCTCCTTAATTTAAACCATTGTGCCTACTACACTATATGTTTTGGTGACCACATATTGGACCACAAGCACACCAATTTACACCAGCTGAGGAGCTGGCCCATGAAGTTTTGGCTGGAGTGAAAACTTGAGATTCTTTCCAGTTTAATTTTGAACTTAGAGATAATTTGAAATGGATTTTTGTACATTAAGACTGTTCATTTTAACTTTTTAAATGTTTACTTTCTCCTGCTGGTCTAGCCATCCAATTTTCAACAAGTTTCCCTCGATAATAATTAAACTTGCAAAGAGATATAAAAATATTAATCTTGTGAAACTAATTATGGTGTAAGAAAAAGACCTTGGCATGGAAATATTTGATTTGCTTCATCACTATCCTATTACAGTTAACAGATGAGCCAAGCAATCTTTTTTTCTTCTTAAACTCTCAGCAATTTACCTAACCTGTGAGATTCATTCAATTAATTTTCTTAGCCAGTCATTAATAACTAAATAATTCGGTCTGCCTGTCTGTTGCCGTCTCTCTCTTTTATTTCTATAAATAGGGCACATTGAAAATGTGTGTGCTGGTGAAGCTGATAAAATAGAATGTTTATGATAGGGACGATTTAAATATCTCCCAGGTTTTGCTTTTCAAACTTGCTGTGACAATGCTTCATACTGTGGGCTGACAAATCAGAGAAGAGAAAGAGTAGCCAAAATTTGTTATGAAGCTATGTGTGGGCAGGCAACAACTTCCACTGGTAGCCAATGGAGCTCCAGAGTATAAAGGACTCAGACAGGAATTAGCAGGCTAAATACACGTATTTTGTTGGTTTGCTTGCAGGATTTCTTTTTTTAAAGCCCGGAGAGTGGTCAGTTACGCTAAGTTGCTTGCAGAAAGTTCCCTTCATAGTTGTGACCGCTAACCTTTAAGTCTCGTCTGCTTACAAAACAAGACACTGCTTTTCATTTTATAATATGTGGTGCTACTCATTTTGGGCTAGACAGTGACTTGGATTATGCATTAGTGCAGGAGTGTAAGGAGAGTAAGAACCTCAGCTGTGAGCATGTAGGGCAGCGAGTGGATGGAATGTTTACTTTGACCTGCAACAATGCACCAGCCAGTGCAGATGAGCCAGTATAGGGAGTGGTGTTATTTGCTATTAGAGAAAAAAAGGGAAGCAAGGAGGGAATTTGCTTTAATGGGGTATCTGTGAGGCACAAACTCTCCCAGGCCTACTCCAGGAGTTGCACAGTTTACCTATTATCCCTTGCTCAGAACTGTGCCTCAAGTCACAATGGAGGTTGGGGTGCAACCAAATTAATTGCTGACACCCCTAGTGGCCAGTGTGAATAAAAGGCCTTGCAGGGGTAACAGATTTATGGGTTATATCGTAGAAACCCTGTAACTCTGGTGCTGAAAATTAGGTTTCCAACCATCAGAGGGGTGAGGTTCTGGAACAGCTGTTGTGGCCAAACAACTTAATTTGTTTTATGAAAGAGCTGGACGAATGTATAAGTACAAGTGTATGATGGGAGCAGGGTCAATAGCCCTGGGGCTCACTTGTGGTTTATGTCTTATGTTCCTGAAAGCATGTTTCAGGACTGCAGCCAGCCCACTACAGGGGTCAGGAAGGAATTTGCCCTCCTGCCTCAAGTATTCTGAGGGGATTTCATCTTCTTCCTCGGAAGCACCAGAGATTGCCATGGCTGGAAATGGGACACTGGACAGTGAGAGACAGCCCTCTGAGGTGGTGCTGGGAGCTTGTCTGGCTGGTTTTTGCTCATGTGCTCAGGGTCTGACTGATTGCTGCATGTGGGGATGGGAAGGAACCTTCCCCCAAGTCAGATCGACAGTGACCTGGATGTTTTTTCACCTCCCTGTGCCGCATGTGAGTCATTTGCCAGGATTATTTGGGTGTATCTGACTTAATCCATTTCCTGACATTGCAGGGGCCTTGAGCATTTGTGCACTTCTGTCCCTCCTATTCTCCGCCTCTGGCACATAATAGTCTAAGTTTTCTGTGGGCTGTAATACTTTGATCTAATTTCAGTTGTTGGATTTAGTGTGTGGGTGGTAAGTAGAGTAGATGGGAGATCACAGATCTAGTGGTCCCTTTAACTCTATGACTCTGTGACCCACTTAGATGCGTCAGAGGGACCCAGGGCAGAGAGAGTGCCCTTCCCCAATGTTAAGTTAATAACAGCCTGCTTTAAACCATTCCTCTGTCTGTCCTCGTTTTCCTGCATGTCCTGATCAAGAGGGATTTGTGAGAAAGGAGCAAAAGTGAAGAGTCCTAATGGACAGAGCTTAGCGAGATTTCAGTGAGCAAAGTTATTATAGGGATTAATTTTATTTATGAAGCACTATCAGAATATGTTGTGCTGTACTAAAGGAGCATTCAACAAGTAGACAGGCCTGCTATGAAGAACTTACAGTCTCAGGATGTGTCTATACAGCAAGACAAACTCTGTGGTAACAAGTCTCAGAGCCTGGGTCAACTGACTTGGGCTCACGGGGCTCCTGCTATAGGGCTAAAAATAGCAGTGTAGACATTCAGGCTTGGGCTGGGTTTCAGAACCTGGGCTCCAGCCTGAGCCCGAATGTCTACACTGCTATTTTTAGCCCTGCAGTGCAGCCCAAATCACCTGACCCAGTCTCTGAGACTCACTGCTGTGGGTCTTTCTTTCTGGTGTAGACATACTATAAAAGGCACAAAAAGTCATTAATATCCTACAATAGAGAACAAATATAGAACAGAGTAGAAACCTTGAAGATGGAATGATTCATGGAGCAGGTGGCCTTTTAGGATATTTTTTGAAAGGAGGCAGTGAGAGTCCTAGCCAGACCTAGGAGGTGGGAACCATGTGGCCAGACATGAAAGAATCAGCAAGGAGTATGTTTTTCTTTTTTTAGCAGCTGGAGCCTCAAAAAGAGGGGGAGCAAATGGGAAGAACTTCATAAGAAGAGGAGTGAGCAGTGGGAGCATCAATAGGGATAGGAGGTAGAAAAAAAAACCTAGTTTTCCTCTAAAAGTTATTAGACTTGCTCCATGGAAGGAGTATGTCCTCTGTTAAAACCAGGATACTGATCCAACATACAGAGCAGCAGGAATTCTGGACTGGCCAAAGGAGACAAAGGGCATATTCAGGAGAAAAAGCATGTGTGGAATGCAGAGGGGGGGATGGAGGAGAAGATGGGGTCAGAGAGAGAGTTATAGAGAGCTCTGCAATTGAGTAGACAGGGAATGAAGGGCGGCAGGAGTGGGAGGGGCTTGAGGGGTTGGGGGGGATGGGGTGGGGACCAGTGCTGAAATCAAGAAGTGAGGAATAGGCCAAGACAAGACATTACCAGAGCATGGACTATCATCTTGGCAGAAGGAATGGAAAGGAAGGGATGAATAATGGAAATGCTGTGGAGAAAGACACAGCAGGATTTGGCAATGGCCT